GATATCCAATTCCCTACTATTTTGTCTGCCTTGTGGCAGAGCTGTTAAAGACCGAATTGTTCTAAACAATTGGGCTGGGTGTGAGCTCGCAAATGCAACCATGGCTGCATAGAATTCTCTCTTAGCAGCCTTGACTGCCACCTCATAGGATCTCATAAACGTCCTATAGGATGTTCTTGATGCTTCGTCGCGGGTATGCTGCCACCATCTCTCTAGCCGTCTTAGCTCTTGCTTCATCAGCCACAACCCCTGGGTATACCAGGGGGCAAGCCTAGAACACATAGGCAGAGGGCGCCGAAGAGCAATCTCATCAATGGCTGTGGAGAGTCGGCTATGCCAGTCCTCCACAAGCACATCTAATGAGCCGCCAAAGGGCATCGGATCCCGCAGAGCCATTTGAAGCCGTACTGGGTCCATTTGGCTCCACGGGCGAGCTAAAATCTGCTCGCCGCCTAAACAGGGTCGGGGTGGAACATTCAGATGAGCTTTCAGGGCATAGTGGTCCGACTATGGTACTGCCTTTGCAGTAATCCGGTCCACTGTAATCCCCACAGCGAAGATCAGGTCGAGCATGTGCCTGGCTTGGTGAGTAGGGATTGATACAAATTGGGAGAGTCCCAGTGCCGCCATGGATGACACCAGGTCCGCAGCCTGGCTGGAAGCCACGTCATCGGCATGGATGTTGAAGTCACCCAAGACCATAAGCCTAGGGTGCTCCAGCGCCCAGCCTGATACTGCCTCCAGCAGGGATGGCAGGCCGCTAGCCGGTGCATTAGGCGGTCGGTACACCAGCCAGATAGCCAGACTCTCCTCAGTCCCCAGCACCAAGCCAACACACTCTATGCCCGCAATCTCCAGTGCGGGGAGTTCCCTGAAGGAGTAAGCCTCCCGAATGAACATCGCCACTCCCCCCCCCGGCCCCTTAGTCCGCGATTGGTGTAGGTCCGAAAACCCGGGTGGGGCAAGTTGGGAGAGAGCTACTGTCTCCCCGTCCCGCGCCCAGGTCTCAGTCACGCACGCCAGGTCCCCTTGTTGTTCTATGACGAAGTCCCAAAGGACTGTTGTCTTGTTATTAATGGACCTGGCATTACACAGCACCAATGACGGAGAGGGGTTCTTCATTCTAGCCCCACTGCAGACCTCCCTCGGGATGGGTCGTAGGCTGGAAGGGCATCAAGCCAATCTTCTTCTCGGGGCCCTTCCCCTGGAAGTGATATCATTGTGCTGTCAATGTCATGGAGCAATGCGCTCAAGTTTTGGGGCAAAACTCTGGTAAAATCGGGCTTAAACCATAGAGTTTTGCCACAACGCTACAGCATCTCTGTGCAACATCAGTGTTACAATGACACCACTTCTGGGTGACATCATGTCACATGCACAAAAGCTCCCGGGAAGGCCCATCAATCCCCTTGCCAGCAGAAATGTAGGACCTGCAAACCCTAATTGTACTGTAGAGTTCTTGCTATTATCCCAGTATTTTAGACCTTTGTGGTGTAGACCTGTGTGGGAAATCACACAGAATATAAATATGGTGAACTATAAGAGATTACATTCAAGAACCCAAGACACCCTCTTCCTACTGAAGGCCTCCCCATCTATTTCCTCCAGGTCTCCTAGCCCTTCCCCTTGGAGCAGCATTTAGCAGAGATCAGTAGGCTGCAGTGAGAAAGTTCTGTTGTGCTGATGGGAAATTTCATCTAAATACCAACCCAGCTCATGCACAATTGGCTGCAACTTTTAGCTCCTTTAGTTCATAACTTTTATCTCTCTGTTCATTGACATTACATACATATATACTGATAAAACACTGCAAAAAAGTAATTTTGGTGTGAGAGCATGACAAGATTTGTGTGTGTGTTATTTTACCATTGTATAGAAGGATATGAGTCAAATCTCTTGCAAAATGGCTTACAGCATTACAGAGGATGTAGGATACAATGCTCAGGTTGTGAGCAAGTTGCACCTTTGCAATCTCAACAACGCTACAGGAGATCCTATGGACTTTTCTAGGGGTGTGCAGTCCGTTTAAACATTTAGGTTTAAAGGGACTGCAGAAGACAGCCTGAGGATCAGCTGTGCTGGGGGGAGCATACTGTTCCGGCCAGCCCCAGAAGCTGCTGTGCTGCAGAAGCAATCAGCTAGCTGCGGCACAGCAGATCCCGGGGCCAGCTTCTCCTGCAGCACAGTTTAAACTGCACTGCAGGAGAAGCCATCCCAGCCAGGTCTGCATGCAGCGGGGAGAGACGTCCCTGCAGCACGGAGATCCTGGGGGCATCTTCTCCTGCAGTTCAGTTTAAATCGTGCTGCAGGAGAAGCTATCTCATGCAAGTCTGTGTGTGGCAGGGAGAGGCCTCCCCACAGCATGTAGATCCTGGGGACAGCTTGTCCTGCAGAACAGTTTAAATTGCATTGCAGGAGATGCCAAGCCAGTCCGAAAATTGGGCTGGCCTTTTTAAACTGATATTGTTATTCTGGGGTCTCTTGGACACCTCCCCCCCCCCAAATTTGGTGTTTCTGAAAAATCCCGGATCCAAATACCATACCGGTATTGGGATCTGGGATTTTTTGGAAATACCGAAATTTTCTTGGGTCTAATAGACCCGAACCAGAAAATACCAATTTTTAAAAACTGCATGGCCCTAGATCATTGTTCTTTGAAGCCATTTGTAGTGTCAACATGTCTAGGGCTGGCTGTGGTTTCTAAGCATGTATTAAAAACAATGTCATTTATTTAGGAAATTCTCCATCCTGTTACATGCAAATGAAATGGTTTGTTTTCATTTCCCAAGAAGTCATTTCCAGGAACACACACTTTCATTCCTGCCTAATTATTGCCACTTCTTATTTCGGTCTGTTCTCATCAGATGGACAAGTAAGTGGTAAATAGTTGACCACTTGGGAGGATACACAGCCCTACATGTGGCTGGGAGGAGGGTGGAGGGATAGCACACCTTATCTCCCCACTGAGTTGCCACTTCTGCCTCTTATGACAGCAGATGTCCATGCAGCAGTATAATGCCCATAACAAGAGCTTGTGTGGTTTAGTGGTTGGTTACTATCTTGGAGAGCCAAGTCTGAATCCCTACTCTGCTATGGAAGCTTGTTGGATGACCTTGGGGCAGCCACATACTCTCAGCCCAAGGTGGTTGCTGTGAGAATAAAATGGAGAAGAGGAAAATGATATACAGTGCTTTGGGTCCCCATTGGGTAGAAAGGCAGGGTATAAATGAAGTAAATAAGCCATAAAATAAATATCTAGCCAATCCCAGTGTGGCTGTAGGCTCCATGAATGTGGCTGCTTCTTGAATTTAATCTAGGGAATCAGCTGTACACACAGAAGGTCTGGACTGGTCCAATTCAGTCATTAACTGGTGGATCCTAGTGCTATTCTACGATTCCACTGATCCAAGTGTGAAGACTTCCTCCAGCCTAAGGAACCACCCTCCAACTTCAGTGGCTCTTCTGTTGGAGGAAGGAGACACTTCCATTCAACAAAGTGCTCCTTAGGCTGGTGGAAGGCTTCAGATTTTACTCAGCAGAATGGTAGGATGGCGTTTTATCCACTCCAGTACCATTGGTACTGGTGACAGCCAAAGCACTCTGCAGCTTCTGAACTAACCCTCTACCTCTTGATTAGGTCTTTTTTACACTTTTTAGATACTCTCCCTCCTCCTCTTCCTCCTCCTCCTCCTCCTTATTGTCATCCCAGAGTAAAAAGAAATGGTCTTTATTTGTATGGAGATTTGATTAAAAAAAATAATCAGCAAAGCGTTTTTACAGTACTCAAGCCTGGTTTCCGTCCCTTTGGTATGATATTTGCAACCACATCGGTCAGGTCAGTAGCTGAAGTATTGAATGGAACAAGGCAAAAGAATAGATCAGAAGCAAAAACCTCCAAATTGTTGGATGGCCGAGAAATCACAAACCTATTTTTTTCCATAAAGAAAAAATGAAAGAGAGAGAGAAAAAAGAAAAAGTCAGCCATGTCAGAATTTGAAGATCCAAGGAGCCATTAACTCTCAGTATAATTTAGCAACATAAATACTAAAGGCCTAAGTATTTATGCCCCCCCCCAAAAAAAAAAATCCTGCAAGAAGGAAGGACTCAGCCCCTAAATACTTTTCAGATCCTCTGGTACTTTCTTCTGTAGCATTTCATGCTGTCTACTGCTATCAACAGTGCAAGTTAAAATATTCATCTGCAACTGGTGAATTGGGTCACTGCAACTGGGTCACTTACTGATTTAAGATGGGGGTTGTATGAGTGGCACGGCCCCTATTTTTCTTTGGTGTTTCCTTTTTGAAAGAAGGAGAGATGAAGGGGAGATGGCACCCAATACAGCAGTCTTGCTGAAGATAAGCAGGACTCAGTCTGGTCAATACTTGGATGGGAGACCTTTCGGGAATCCCATATAAGCCACTTGGAATTTAATGGCAGAAGAAAGGTGAGATGTCAATACAAAATGGTAACTAGAGGCAAAGTTGCCTCATCTTTAATACAGCTGTGCAGAAAATGATGGTTTGGTGGATGTGGCTTCTTGGTCCTTGCATGGCAAGCGGCATCTGCCAAAATACCATTTTCTGTACAGCCCTGACCTCCTCTTTTGCATCTGGTCAACTAAAATGAGGAGGGGGGGAAATGAACATATCTGATTTTTTTTAAAAATGAGGTGAATCCCATGTTGCAGTTCGAGCTTTAATATGAGTCTGGAAACGTTGAAGATGACCAAGTTAAATAGCTCCTTGAATGGGCTGTATTGGACAGTATTTTATTGTTGTGAGATATCAAAGGTAAGCAAGCCTAGGCTGGGTAGTAGCATCATGGTTTATGAGTGACAGAGACATTTGCGGTCATGAAATTAATGTTGGTGGAAAGTGCTGTCAAGTCACAGCTGATTCACGGAGACCCTTCATGGGGTTTTCAAGGCAAGAGACACACAGAGGTGGTTTGCCATTAACTGCCTCTGCATCATAACCCTGGACCTCCTTGGCAATCTCCCATCCAGGGCGAACCCTGCTTAGCTTCCAAGAACTGATGAGATTGGGCTAGCCTGGGCCATTCAGGTCAGGGCATGAAATAAACGGCACAGTTCAAAACAGTAATATAACATTCTAAGCCCATTGACTTCAATGGATTTAGAAGGAGGAAACTCTAACAGTTGCCAATTAGCCAGTGGTACTGGTGCAGACTTCCCAGAAGAGAATGACATCAGGAACAGCTGGGGAATATCCTAAACAAACAAACAAGAAGTGGAACAGTATTTTGCACAACTACAACAGAAAATGGAGTCATATCAAGATTGAGGGATAGAAGAAGGTTATTCTTGTTGTCCAGTGGCTTTGCTTCTTTTGTTTAATAACTGCCTTAAAATAACACTCTACATGTTTGATAGCCACCCAGACAACTGAACTACAGTATTTTGAATACTATTGATTACTATAGATCTGCATGGGATGATTGAATTGCAGTGTACTTTCCTGTTTCCAGCTGGATTGTGTTCCTCCTCTTCTATGCGATAAAGACCAAAACAAATGATCCCAAACATGTCAAGTGCTTTACAGTAGACATCTCCAAAAAAGATCTGCAGAAAAGAAAAAACACACACACACCAAAAAACTAGTTCACCATCCACATGGTTTATTCAGTGAAATACCAACTGGGGACCATTTCTGAATTTCTTGTTGGCTGTGATTTGACATCAAATACCCCTTTTCATTCCTGCCTTCCACCAAAGCAAAACATAAATGATGAAAACCACTATTTTCTGCTTTATGTTCACTTATTTCAAAGATTGTTTTATCTGAAAATACTGCACTTTTATTTACTTTTTTATAAAACTATGTGGAAATGATCTTCTCCTGCATTTTTAGAGCGAATGTATAAAATGCATGCAGAATTCAGCTACGCACCCAAACAAGCAAATGCAAACAAAATGAAATACCGTATTGTCAGGACAAGCTACAAAAATACTGGGTGTGGGGGGGAATAAATGAAATATGATGACACATTCATATGTCTCTATTTCTTACCCTCCTTGGGATATGGGAATGGTCCCCGTTTCATTTCTTGTAATTTAAAAAATATATCTGAGTAGGCCTTTGTTTTTGTAGGTTCCTTTGTAGGGTGTCCACATTTATTGTATTTATTAAATGGAACTCACATGTATCATGTACACCACTTACATATACATGTATTCTATATCTAACTTCCAACTCGGTCCTAGCATGCAGATCATCACAGTGGAGTCACTTGGGAATTTTACAGCTATTTCTGCAAACCTTGGTGATTTCAAATTTTCCACCACTGGTCTCTGCTTCTTTAATCCTTGCTCTCCCCCATCCCCACTTCTTGACCCTGGAGGAGTGCTAACTGAGACCAGCTAGCTAATGGAGGGGGCACGTGGTGATTATTAAGAGTGATAGCTTTAAGTAAAATCCACTGGCACTTAATACAACTCACCAGGATTCCATCTAATGAATCTGGATTTTCTGTTACCGATAATAGGGCAAGCTTGCACCTATTTCTAGGAGCAAACTGCATTATGTGGTTACAAGTGCCAGTCAGTGAAGTCTCCTCTGCCAGATATTCTTCCAGTTGTGGGGTGGTTCCACCAGTAACCAGAGTCTGGAGCAAAGCCAACACATGATGATTATAGTAGGCCTATAATAGAAGGGGACAATAGACAGAAAAGCTATCTGTATCATAGACAATTCATAGCAAACTCCTATCCAAATGAAAAGGTAGCCTATTATCTGGTATGTGTTCTTGGACCTGAATTCAGTTTTCATGAGATGCCCAGCATACTTTTTTTTAATCTAGTGGTCACCCTACACAAATTGGATCTTCCTGACACCTCAGAGCCTACAATGCAGCTGATGTAGGGCTGCCAATGCCCAGTTGGGGGCAGGGGATCCCCTGGTTTGGAGCCCCTCCCCCTGCTTCAGAGCTGTCAGAAAGCAGGTGGGGGGAATGGCTGCTGGGCGCTCCATTATACCCTATGGAGACTGGTCTCCATAGGTTATAATGGAGAATCGATCTGTGGGTATCTGGGGCAGCTGAGTTTTGAGGTAGAGGTGCCAACTTTTCAGCATAGCTGGTGGTGCCTCTCCTGAAAAACACCCCCAAGTTTCAAAAAGGTTGGACCAGGGGGGCAAATTCTATGAGTTCCAAACGAAGGTGCCCCCATTCCTCCATTATTTCCAATGGAGGGAAAGCATTTAAAAGGAATGGGGTCCCTTTAAATGTGATGGCCAGAACTCCCTTTGGAGTTCAAATGCATAGTGACATCACAAAAGTGATGCCACATTCTGGGTCCTGGGGCCACCCCCAAAGTCTCCTGGCTCCACCTCTAAAGTCCCCAGATATTTCCTGAGTCAGACCTGGCAACCCTAACCTGATGTCATAGCAGGGTAACTTCAGTAATGATGGAAAACCCAGCTTCCAGAATATTTCACTTCCACTAAGGAATGAGGAACTCCTGACAAGTTTTTGAGGAAGTCTAGGGTTCCTCAGAACACAGTTGGGAAACCAGTGCTCTAGAACTTTTCCCACAGTCTGTTGTCACTGTGATAAAATGCTGTATGTAGCAAGGACTGATTGCTGTATAAACAAGCTGTTGGCAGAGTTTAAACATGCAGAGGAACAGAGCACCAGCTGTTTAAAGAAAATACCTCAGTTTATTAAAGAAGAAATAAACTCTGATAGAACAGAGGAGAGGGAGAGAGGTTTAACTAACTGACTAACTGCTGTGGGAGACAGGAATGAAGGGGAAGGGCTCAGTTGGAGCAGGAAGTCTCCAAAGAGCCAATCAGGAGACATGAAGGACATAATATGAAATTGTGGGAAGTCCTTAATCTAGCTATCCTAAGTAGCAGTCCTTCAGCAGTCCCCTATAGGCTGTTCTTCTGATCTTCTTCAAGTAGATGTATATTACAACACAAGCAATGTTAGCTAGCTAGCCTGCTAGTAGGGTTGCCAGGTCTCCTTGTTCCTCTAGTGGGGAGATTTGGGGGGCATTCCAGGGGTGGGCAGGGATGTCACACTATGTCCCCGATGCAATGACATCACTCAGAAGTGATGCCATCGTGTTGGGGACATCGCATGGGGGACGCTCTGGTATTTGGCCGAAGCTCTTTTTTTTGCCCTCAAAACATGTTGTTTGCTCAAAAACCAGAGCATCTCCCCACAACATCCCCAATGTGATGACAACAATTCCAAGTGATGTCATAGTGTCAGGAACATCCTGCTGTTTAGAGGAGGGCTTTTCCCCACCTGCCAGCTGGTCCATGGTGAAGGGGAGCCCCCAAAACTGGGGAATTCCCCACCTGGACCTGGGGGCTGGCAACTCTACCTGCTAGGTAATGGCAGCTGAATAATATCTTGCTGAGCTATTTTTCTTCTTTTTGCGTTCAGGTTTTTAAGGCCTGAGTATGCCCAAAGATCTGAGCTGAAGGGCCAGAACCAATGGGCTCTTGTCCTTTGTCTCTTATCCTGAGGGTTGTGGCCTTGAGCTGGATAGAAGACCAACTAGCAGACAGAGAACACTGGTTGACACCCCCCTTTTCCTGTTTGTGTCTGTTGTATTTTTTGTACTGTTAGGACCTTTGGGTCCCCTTTAGGGAGAAAAGTGGGATATAAGTAATTTAATAAACAGTGGGGGAACACCGTCTGATTGTCTGGGCCTAGGTTGCGAGCTCCAGGTTGGGAAATGTTTGGAGATTTGAGGGAATCCCTGGTGATTTTGGGGGCGGAGTCTGGGGAGGGTGGGGTTTGAGGAAGGGTGGGACCTCAGCAGGGTATAATGCCATGGAGCCCACCGTCCAAAGAGCCATTTTCTCCAGGGGGATTGATTTCTGTCATCTGGTGATCACATGTAATTCAGGGAGATCTCCAGGCCCCACCTAGAGGTTGGTAACCCTATCTGGGCCTTGTCAATTATCTGCCAACCTCCAGGTGGGGGCCTGGAAATTTCCCAGAATTACAAGTGGTCTCCATACTACAGAGATCAGTTCACCTGGCAAAAATGGCTGCTGTGCAGGGAGGACTCTATGGCATTATGCCCTGCTGAGGTCCATCCATTCCCCATACCTTGTTCTCCCCAAGCTCCAACCACAAATCTCCAGAATCTCCCAAACCAGAGTTGGCAACTGTAGTGGGGCAGCGCAAGAGCATGTGCTTACTGCCCCTCTACTTGTGTCGATTTCAATATGCATGTCATCTGCAGTGTGTGTGTGTGAGAGTCAGAGAGTGAGTGAGATAGATAGATAGAGAGAATATAGGTAGACTACGGATGCCAGCCTCCAGGTGGGACCTGGGGATCCTCTGGAATTATAGCTCATCTCCAGACTACAGAGATCAGTGCCCCACTGATGTCCCTGTCCTCCCCAGGCTCCATCCCCAAGCCTCCAGGAGTTTCCCAATCTGGATCTGGCAACCATACTCCCCATCCCCTGCTGGTGGCCAGGGGGACCAGCCTGCGGAAGCTAACACTGGAACCCCCCCCCCCCCGGCCTGTGGTGGTTCTCAGCAGTTCTAAGTACAAATAAGGTAAATGTTATGAAATCTTTGAATTGCTCCAATCACTGAAAACACTTTGTGAACATATAGGACATCTAGCAAATATTTCACTCTAATGCTGTTTGAGCCCTCTTCCATCATTTAAAGGAGTTATCCTGTGCTGTAAGTCAGGGTTATCTTCCTCAGAAGGGAAGAGCATTTTATATACTTAGCTGAGTGGTGCTGAGCTCTTTAGCATCTCACCACTACACTTTTTTGACTTCAAAAGGATTGCATTTCCATACTTGAATGAATTAATAGGATTTGCGTGCCACCTGCATTCTGTACTTTATTTGCTGAGGTCTACACTGCTGGAGTTTGCAAAGAAAAAAGGACAACTAAGTTGAGAATAAAAGAGAAAAATGCATGCAGTAGAATGTTTGCATGGCATGTTAGATTTCAGTATATTCTGCACAAGGTTAACAAAACTTCCAAAATTCTGTCCCCCCACCCACAAGTGTTTCCCTGGATTTGGAATTCCAGATCTCCTGGCCTGGTTTCTGATATGGAACCACAACATTAAATATATATATATCAGTCCTTTTAAAAATGTCTGAATTTTGTACAAAATGCTGTGCACACACAGTTTGACACAAAGTTCTGTTCTTGTGTCTTTTCCTTAGCTGTATTACTAATGTGAACAGACACATTGATGAAATCATACCACTGTCAGGTATTTCTGTAGAAACATAGAGCTGGAAGGGACATCAGGAGTCATCTAGTCCAATCCCCTGAACAACTCGGGAAATGAACCCCCCCCATGACCCTTGCTCTATGCCCAGAGGAAGGCAAAAAACCTCCAGGATCCCTGGCCAATCTCACCTGAAGGAAAATTCCTTCCTGGTCCCAAAGTGGCAATCAGCATTACCCTGGGCATGTAAGAAAGGATCACAAGAGCTAAGCACTGACCCATCCCTTCCTTCGGTCTCATGCTCTGCCAAATTCACAGAATCGGCACTGCTGTCAGAAGTCCATCTAGCCTATGCTTAAAAACGTCTAAAGAAGGAGAGCCCACCACCTCCTAAGCCTGTTCCACTGAGGAACTGCTCTGAATGTCAGGAATTTCTTCCTAATGTTTAACTGAAAACTCTTGATTTAGTTTCAATCCATTGGTTCTGGTCTGATCTTCAGGGACAACAGAAAACAACTTCACTCCATTCTCTATATGACAGACCTTCAGATACCTGAAGATGGCTATCATATCACCTCTCAACTTGAAGATGGGTACTGTATCACCATATGAATGATTGTATCAAGTTTCTTTTGGTGCAATGATTCACATTTTAACACATGAACTTTTGAGTACTGGCAAAAACCAAGCAAAAACAACCTTTACACAGTGATAGATACAAATATGTTTCTGATGAAACTAAGCTCACAAAGAATAATGCTGCAGTCCTGTACATGTCCAGATTGCTTCCCCCCCCCCATGCAATGTTTTATCAGAGAATACAAATGAACTGCAGGTGGTTGCACTAAAGGGTGCATAATCCAATCCCAGAATCAATGTTAACAGTTTTCCTAGTATGACTGGAGTTCAGAAGAAGTAGAACAGGGAGTCTGAGTTAATTACAGTGTTGAGGAAGGAAAAAGTTATTCACTTTTCTGATTCTTCTTTACCAGAAAACCCCCAAAGGGGGGGGGGAAACCCATAGAATTGTGAATGGCTAAAAGGGTGCAGACAAACCCATTATTTAGTAATTTATTATTTATTATTTCTACCCCACCTTTCTCCCCAACATGGGGGACCCAAAGCATCTTACATCATTCTCCTCGCCTCCATTTTATGCTCACAACAACCATGTGAGGTAGGTTAGGGTGAGAATGTCTAGCACCCAAGGTCATTCAGTGAACTTCCATGGCATGAGCGGTGATTTGAAACTGGGTCTCCCAGATCCTAGTCTGACACTCTTAACCACTACCCCACACTGGCTTTCATTCATTAATGTATTAATTTACCATTTAAAGTAAGTAGGAGCAACAGTTCATGGACAAAAAGCATAGTTTTAAAAAAGAATAAAATGACATTTGTATTTTAATCTTGTCTTCCGTACTACAACTGAGCCACATAACCTTACCTATGCTGGGGGAAAGGGGGGGTGGAAGAGCTTGTCCGTCTGTACCTGAGGCTTTCCATGGCATGGGAATCCTCACACTGCCCTCAGCTAAGGTTGTCATGTGCTTGATGGGGGCAGGATATCTCCTGCCCCCAGTGGGGACTTGCCTGCCAGCATTCCAGCAGCTGGTGGGGAAAATATTTCCTTTTTTTAAAAAAAAAATTACCACCAGTGACAGCATGACATAAAATTAATAAAAATATAACAAGAGCTCTGCTGGATCAGACTAGAATTCCATTTAGTCCTGCATCCCGTTTCACACGGTGTCCGATCAGTTGCCCTGGGAGGAGGGCAACAAAGAGGGTGCAGAAGTCAAGGAATTCCTCTGATGCTGCCTCCTAAGTACTTAGTTGCTACTGCCTCTCGCTGTGGATCTTTCCTTTAAGTCACCATGGTTAACCGCCCTTGATGGGCCTGTCCTCCATGAATATGTCTAATCCCCTTTTAAAACATCTATACTCATGAGCATCCCTTACATCCACTGGCAGTGAATTCCAGAAAATATGCTCCCCTTTTAAAGGTGTTTTAAAACTTTTGCTACAATGTATTGTATTTTGCTTTCAGCAGTCTTTGCAGTGGTAGACAGGTGTCATACTTTTTATAAATAAAATAAATAAAACTTAAGAAGGAATGACGAGCTTGCGGTTTGGCTCAGGGTGAAGCTGTGTGTTAGAAGAGACTAGGACATACTGGGGCAGCAGGATTTACAAATAACTACTCCTACTGATTGGTGTCCTAGAGATGGACAATAAAAGAGCTATGATGCCGTTTCTATGACTCGGGTAAAATGTGAAACCACGGTTCATTTTAGTGCATTTGTGAAACCAGGATTCAGCTCACAGAAAATCAGTGAAATCTTGCTTTGCCTTGATCAGTACTGGTGAACCGGTTACTAAACCAAATTTATACCATAGTTCCTGCATCTCTGGTTCCACATGCCTTCCTAATCATAGTCAGTAGAGTGGCCTGCATCCAGATGGTGACAGTAACCAGAATTAATTTCATTCAATCTCAGTTTTGCTTTAGGTCTGAACTGCATTTGACTTACAGTACACAACAGAGAATCCAGAAAGCTGTCGGAGAATACCGTTCCTCTGGAAAAACGTGTGGCATGCCGGTTGTAAAAGTCACCTGCATTTTCCTTAATGTTCTGCTCAAAGAATTGTGCATTGGAAGCTACTTCTGTAAGAGGAGAGAAAGTAGAATGCTCCGTTTCTGACAAATGCAGGTTTCCCGTAATCCATGGAAATGATCGGTAACACCACTCATTCTACAATATGCAGTGCATATGGTTGTAGAAGAATGACAAGAAATGGTGAGTGTACACACTGGGGGGGGAGTTGTTTATTTTAATTAACTCACACAAACACATTCTATCTATCTAGCACAATTTTATCCTGGCCTTCCTCCAAAGACCTTAGGGAAGCATACATGGCTCACCTCGCCATTTTTATCTTCACAACAATCCTGTGAGGTAGGTTAGGATGAAGAAGTGACTGGCCGGAGGCCATCCAGGAAACTTCATGGAGGAACAGCAGGCTTAAACGTGGGTCTCCCAGATCTTAGTCTGACCATCTAACTACGATTCCATACTGGCTCAAATTAAGGCCAGGAATGAAGGTCAGTTAAAAAACTAGCTGCTGTGATAATAAATAGCAAGCATAATAAGCAAGGAAACTAGACATTTGTCTCCATATCCAGTAGCAATTGGTTCCACTGGTTAATTAGACAATTGGTCAGAGGCCTAAGGGTGATTTTGACCTCATGCCTAATTTGCTAAGTCAAAGTATGTCAAAGTTTTAAGACCACAATCTTTACTGAGTCAGAACAATTATGGACTCTGGTTAACACAATTCTAAAGCAGGGACAAGACCCCATTAGCGTTACTGATGAGAAAAAGTCACCACAGTGACTTAGTGTATTCTCCCCCTGCCTTTTTTCCATATAGGGCAGACGTCACGTGAAAGTACCTGTGGAGGGTAACTGGTTCTTCCTTTCCCCCAGAATTTGAGAATAGTAACATAAAAATGCAAATGCACAGCATTTTACTGTGTTCTCATTTTAGCAGTTCAGCCAGTTGACCTAATAGGAGAAGCTCCTCCCCTTTTCCCAGCACCAACTGGGTACTGGGAATCCAACAAAGAGCTAGTTCTTAGGCTATCTGAGTGGCAAATAAGGATGCCCTTTATTATTTCTCTTGGTTTTCAAAAGTTGGCAATGGGAGAGTGTAAGGATACTGTTGCCTGGTTTGGTGCACAACCTGAAATGGGCATGGGGAGCAAAAACAACATTGCACAATACCATTTCTGTCAGTCTTCACACACCACTAAGCTCCCGCTGGTTGCCAGCAAAGGAATGGCAACCCTAGAAGAGTCACACATTTTTGTAGCTGTTTTTCCCACTTTGTTTGTCTTATACTGCTTACATATAAAAAGAGCATAAGTTACATATATAGCATCTAAATGGCATATAGTATATACATTTCCTGCTAAAACCACCTAACATTAAATTGTTCTTTTACTTACAGGGTTTAGCTACCATGCTGGAAGAACAATGGATGTGCTATTTATTCCTGATACCATTTATATGTTGTTTACATGCACCATTATCATATTATACTACATTTATATGCAACCGATGCAAATATAAAATTGGCACCCAACCAGTGCAAATATAAAATTGGCACCCATTGCAGGGGGGTAAAATTGACAGAGGGAAACAGAAAACAATGTGAAAATCAAGGCTTGTGGGTTTGATTTGCACAGTTATGCTTTTTTGGACTAGGGGTGAGAAATTTAATATAGCATCGCTAGCACAGATTGAGTCCCTGTTCTGAGGCTCTGTATTTGTGCGCTCTGCTGCCATGTTTGGAAGAACAATTCTTAAAGCAAAGGAAGGGTTACCAAAATTCATGTAACCATAATTCCTCCTAGAATTATGAGAAATAAATTTTGATAGATAAAAAGGCCTTGGATGTTCTTTATGAGAGCATACATTATGACTGGGGCAGCCAACTGGCTTGGAGAAAAATGGCCTGTCCGTGTAACAGTGGTATAATGTGTGGGACTAAGCAACTGAAGCTTTTCATAGCATGAAAGTAAATAACATCAACTGGTAAATAAGATCTTGGACTGCATTGTGTTTTTGTAGTCTCCAAATGCACACTAGAAACCCATGATGAGCTGGGATTTTGAGCAAGTAAGTATATATCCAAGGCTTTAACAATTATGGCACAAAATAGTATGGCAGCAGAAAATTATAGGAGGGTAGACGGCAATCTGGGAGAACAAACCATAAAGAGTAGTTGTAGTTCCTTCCTGGGCATTCTGCACCTCCCTAACTGGAATGGCAAGATAAGAAATATGCTATGAAATAGTACAGAATGCCAAGCAAAAATGCCCCCCTTTGTCTTCCTTAGTATGCTGGAAGCTGTTTGCTGCCCCAGAGCCACTTAAATTGGTGGACAGCTCCTAAGGCTGGTGGAAAGCTTCAAGCTTTGCTGAGTGGCTTGGTTGGATGCAATCCATTATGTGTCTGATCCATCTTGGTAGTTTTTATTACTACTGTGGACAAAAGGAGAGACACTGGAGTCCCGAAAGCTCCAAGGGTGTGCGCTGAGGGGATCAGAAGCATCTCAAAACTTTAAAAGCACTTCCCAACCTCCATGCAAATGTGCTCACCCTTTTAAAGTCTTTCCAAGATGGAAAACAAGGGAGATGTTTTAGTTTCACGCTGGGCCTTTGTGACGCTTTGCTATATTTCTTCTCCCAATAAACTATCCAGACTCTTTCAAAGCCACTGAATTAACATTTAAGTCAAACCTTTTAATGTTCCTTGGACACGGCATGCTCTCACTTTCTGTCTCTGAATTGTAAAGAGGGCTAGGAGTAAATAAATAATGCAGCAGGTGTATCGCTTTGGTGAAATAGGCTCCCGAAGAAGGACTTACTCAGCTCGGTGATGATGGGGATACTTTTAAAAGGAAGCTCTGGCAATTGATTCTCCAACATGTCTCTACTAACTCCCATTGACATAGCAGCTGTTAACATGGGGAGGGGGGAGGAAGGGAGAGAAAGGTAAAGTCAGGAATGAAATGAATAGATTTGGAGTTTGCAGGCAACTAGGAGTGCTTCAGAGATACATCGCATCTGAATTTCTCTTTGATTTTAGTGTTTTGAACTACCTTGATTTTTTTCTGAAGGGGAGCCAATGCATTGTGTGTGTGTGTAAAGTCCCGTCAACTCACAGCTGATTTATGGAGAACCCAGAAAGGGGCTTTCAAGGCAAGTGAGAAACAGTGAAAGTTTGCCATTACCTTCTCTCCAGAGTCTTCCTTGGTGGTCTCCCTTTGTAATACTGACTGTGCTTAGCTTCTGAGATCTGGTATGACTGGACTATACAACACTGCCTTCCCTCCCAGCCAATGCATTCTATTGTTCTGTTCCCCTAACCCCAGTTTTTATACCTTGCATGTGTACCTGTCACAGCTGTTATTTATTTCAGTTCATATTCATCTTCCTTCCCATGTTACTAGTGTGTTCACAAGCATTGATAAAACACTGTAAAAAGAGTTCCTGATGTGATTGTTTATACAGAACTACCACCATTCTTTTTGTGTGTTGTTTGATTCATTCATTGGGATGAGGGTCGCCAGCCAAATGCTGGGAATTGGCAGGAAACTCAAGGGAGCAGGGACAATGAAATCAATGTTGCGCTGACGCTGCAACATCACTTCTAGCATGAACCCAGCATGAACCCAGAAATGAAACTGGAAGTGTGTGTTCATCTTTTTAAAAATGCTTAGTGTATGTTGAACAAAGAGTGTCAGTGCAGTCCTCAGAATGCTTTCCTGGGAGTAAACGCTATTGAGTAGACCTGAGCAGGATTCTGAGTTGACCTGCTTAGGACTGCTCTCTATATTCTCTAAGATTTCATAGAAGAAATACATGTCTGTAACACTCCAGTTCTCCTACTGAGGATCACAGCCTGAACTCTGTCTCCATTATTAGACATTGCTTTACTTTATCTTCTGTATGCTATGCTCATTCACTCTGAAAATAGCTCATCTTCTGCTGCTTTAAATGCCAAGAAAGTGAATCAGCAATGGTTTTTTTGGCTAAAGAGATACTGAAAGAAAACCTAATTGTCCTACAGTGTAGGATTTATTACTGTGTAGGATTTATTACTGTGTAGTAAATATGTTCCAGCTGCATCAGTTCAGAACAGCAGCTCTAGTATGGGAATGGCGGGCTGGCTGTGTACAGCACTGATGTTCTTGCATTAATGTTCACGCACATGAATAAGTATACATTTGTAATATTATTTAGGGAATTTTATTTATTAGAAACAGGGTTCAGTACTATTATTCAATTGAAGCAAGGTTCGTGTTCTCACCCACTGACACCATTTCTAGATACTTTTGATTATGCCTAGATACTAGAGAAACTGGTTTGCCAGTGGACGATCCAAAGTTCAAAGTAATGATAAGGAGGAACAGACTTTCTCTACTGTGCTAATATTTCCCCACACATTGGTAAGACTTCATGAAAAATAATGTTTCTCACTTTAAAAAAAAAGTTTTATCAGTGCATACATGCCAGGGAACAAGGATGCAGTAAAATGTCCAGGTGTACAGTGCTCAGGACAAACTTCAGAAAGGAAAGCTGCAGAGAATCCCAACAGCCTCCAGTTCCATTTGAGAAACAACACAAGTAGTCTGGAACTCAAAACCCACGGGTAAATTCAGAGGAGGAAACTTTTTGCAGAAAGGGGCAATACTGGGGAAGGCCTTTGACTTCCTGAGACACTGAAGAGTGACTGCTCATCAGAGTAGGGAATACTGAGTTAGATAAACTTTATGTAAAGCAGATTCCTCTGTCCACATGAGCTAAATTATGAAGAACAACACTAGTGCCTTGCCCTGAGAAAGATCAGAAGAAGGCATTCCCAAAAGGAACAACAAAACAGGAGCAAAACAAGATTTGCCAAGAATAGAGTCTATTTTCTAGTAATAGTACTGCTACTACTGGCTTCTGTTTATTATTTACTTGTATGGTCCCACAGGAGGGAGGCAACATGGTATAGCCTGATCTCATCAGATCTTGGAAGCTAAGCAAGGTCAGTACTTGGAAGGGGGACCACCACGGAACACTCTGCAGAGGAAGGCAATGGCAAACCACCCT